GGGGATGGTTGGTTGGGAATGCAATCTGGGGGCAGAATGGACTTTCAGAAATCCTCTTGGCAGTGTGTGTGTGGATGGGGTGGGGGTGGGGGAGGAATGCGGTTGCATTCCTGCCTCTGCTCACACCTGGCCCTTTTGGGGCTCCCACACATCTGAGCAGGGTGTATGCTGGACAACATTTGATGACTTCTTAGGGTTACTGGTTATTCCTTCCGAGGGTGAACAACTGTCCCAGTTTGGCCAGAACTGAGGGGTCTCCAGGGATGGGGGTTTTCCAGTGCTATAACTGGCAAAGTTTTAGGCAAATCAGGATGATTGGTCAACCAATGGCCTTAACACTAGGCTCTGTAGCTGCTGCTGGTCAGCAGGGTGTCATGGAGGTCATTTGGGAACTTAGAGCAGAGCTTTCCGTTCCTGGTGTGTATTTAGCAAGGATGGTTAATAGATCTCCACTTAACTAGCAGGCAGTGACTAATCTGGTCCTGGAATCTCTTCGGCCAGGCTGAACGAGTTTGCAGGTTAATTGACTTTCCCAGTTTACGGCTGCTTGGTGGGGCTGGTGGCTGCCTAGTGGGAATGGAGCTCAGGTGGTTAGATTTGGATCCTGGCTGTGTTCACTTATGGTCTAAAACTCTCAGGAGAGGGTGATTTTATCTTTTTCTTTCTCAGGAATGAGTCACTAGTTCAGAAAATACCAAGGACATGGTGATAACTTACTGTTGTCCTGCTGCGGATATAGAAGAGTGGAAAGGAGGTGGAGGAAGGGAAAAGGAACACGTTTTCTAGAACTCAGTTGTTGTGAGGGAGAAGTCTAGGCTTGTAGTAGGAAGAGCTTTCCTGGTTGAGAGCAGGCATGTAGCTCAGGAGTGTGGACATGATGGAGGAGGCTTTTGGTGGTTACTGCATGCGGACAGGATAATGAAGGGTGACCGGCTGAAAGTCCTGGGAAATCCATCAGTCCTGGGCAAAGCAGGATGGTTAGTTGCCCTCGTGGAGGGACAAGACCCAAGAGTAGGCAGAGTTTTTGGCCCGAGCATGTAGAAGTAAGGAGAATCAGAGGTGGAGACTCAGAGCTGTTTTGGGAAACCAGCAGAGTTCAGCATTTAAATCACTAATAACAACAACAAAGACTTTTGTAGTGCCCCGAATCAAATAAATACATCCACAACCCATGTCTTCCTGAGCAAGCCCTTGTGGATGGGAACAGCTGGCATCTGGCTGGCTCAATCACTCTCTCTGAGATCCAGAGCAGCAGCTGAGAGCAAGGGCTTGGGACAAGGGGATTGTTTTGGGGTGAGATGGGAGTTGGGGTTCCCAAGCGAAGCAGCCTTAAATCAAGCTGTTCTGTATGATTTTTCTCTACATTTCTTTCTGGAAAATCAGCCTCAGATTACCTGCCCTTCTATAAGTGAAGGGTGGGTTGGTAGAGCTGGACTGGAGTAGGACTTTGGCCTTCCAGCTTGTATTTTTGATGGAGAGAGCAGGCTTCGACAGCCATGGGAAAGTCCTAGGGGAACTTGACAGGCGTTTGCAGTCTGCACACCCAGCTGGCCTGCTCAAGCTAGTCTATCTTGGCTCTTAGGAAAAACACATGCACCTACACCTGAGCAAGAACTATTTTTGTCTTCCAGGATACAGTATAAATACTCTGGTGTTCTGTGACCTTTCAAAAGAAAATTCAGCCCTCCTTTCTCTGAGAATGTACCCATAGATGTTCTTTACTTTTTGTCTGTTGGATGGGAGAATAAAGTGTGATTGCTTGAATCCAGAGGGATTTGGGGGTGAGTCTCTTCTTGTAGTAGACCGTGAGCTCTGGGAGTGCAGGATCTGGTTTCTCTTGCCTACACTGAATCCCAGAGCCTAGACCAGTGCCTGGTTCATAGTTGCTCAGTCATTAAGTAGTGAACGAGCTAGTAAACAATAAGTACCTTTCTGAGTGAGGACAGTACACCAAAAGCCGTAGGATAGTGTTTCTCAAACTTGGCTGTACGTTAGAAGTACCTGGGCAGCTTTAAAAAATCTCAATGCCTAGGTCATACCTATGCCTATTCAGTTATTATCTTTGAGGGTGAGATTTAGGCATCAGTATTTTAAAAAGTCTTCAGGCGATTCAAAATCAGGTGCAGCCAAATATGGGAACCATTTTCTTCAAAGTGTGGTTTGTGGACCAGCAACTGCAAGCATCACCTGGGTTCTTGTTAGACATGCAGGGTCTCAGGTCCCATCCTAGACCTCCTGAATCAGAATCTGTCTTTTAATGAGCGTCCTGGGATTAAAGACTGGGAAACAATGCTGTTGGCCATGGGAATATAGAAAATCTGCTTGTGCCTGGGGGTCCATGAAATGCAGAGTAGTGGAAAATAAGGCTAAAAAGCAGGCTGGGAAGCTTGGATTTATTGGGCAGCAGGTGGTGGAGAGTCATGAAAAGATCTTGAGCATGGGAGTGGAGTGTTGGAACAGTATTTAGGGAGATGAGTCCCTGACAGTGGGATCCAGTATCTCAGAATGTCACCTTTTCTTGCAGGTGCTACTCCCAGCAGCCAGCTTGCTGCAGCTCATGGATGTCCGACAGAACTGCTGTGACTTCCTGCAGTCTCAGTTGCATCCCACCAACTGCCTGGGCATTCGTGCATTTGCAGACATGCACACCTGCACTGACCTTCTGCAGCAGGCCAATGCCTATGCAGGTAATGGGGAGCTTATCACCTGGTATGCTGTGGCTCTAATTACCTGGTCTGCTGTGGACTCCTCACAGATTACGAGAATTGGTCTCTGCTGTGAAGCAGCGATGATTTAGTTAGAAAAGTTACAGGTGGAAGAATCATTAATAATGGAAGAGTTTAGAAAATGATTAATTCCCAAATGGATGAGGCAGGCAGTAATTTTCATGAGAATAGAGAAGGGAGATCTCAGAAGATTTGGGTGGTGGGGAGAGTAAAGAGTTAGGCCTTGAAATAAATATTTGTTGTTGTTTGAGAAAACTTTAATTTTTAAAAATTTCAATAGGTTTAGGTGCAAATAGTTTTTGGTTACATCGTATAGTGGTGAAGAAGTCTGGGTTTTAAGTACACTCACCACCTCCACCTGTGGCACATTGTACGCGGTAGGTGATTTTTTTATTCCTCCCCCTCTGAGTCTTCAGTGTCTGTTATACCATTCTCTGTGCCTTTGCAGAGCCTTAGTTTAGCTCCCACTTACAATGAGAACATGTGGTGTGTTTAGTTTTCCATTCCTGCATTAGTTCACTTAGGGTGGGCTCCAGTTCCATCTATGTTGCTCCAAAAGACATTATTTAATTCTTTTTTTATGGTTGAATACTATTCCATGGTGTACGTGTGTATGTATGTATACATATATAATATAATATTTTTATTATCCACCAATCAGTTAGGAAAACCTTAATTTTGTTTGAAATGTTCTAAGAACATGATTTTAAAGCTGACATACTATTGCAAGGCTTATGATGACGAGCAAGAGTGCCCTGCGGTATCTTTCCACACCAGGTCTTGTTCTACAGAGTTCGCTTCAATCCTAAGAGGTTTAAAATGCAGGTTCTGAGTCATCTGAAAGCTACTTCATTGGCTACTCACCTTCCACTTACCTAAATGGTATGTGTAACTGCTATTTTTTTGATTTATTTATTTTAGATGTTATTTGTTGACTTCTCCGAAGAGGAAGACTCATTTTCCCCTTATATACATGCAGTCGCCCCTTCTTATTGTTCTACTATTATCTGCACAACTGTATTACAATTACAGTTTTTTAAATCAGAAAGGCAGTTAATAATTGTATTTTTCTTTTACAAAGTGTCTGCTACTACCCCTAATTCTTGTCAGAACAATCCTTCTCCAGACATCAATAATCTGTTGATTCCATTTACTTTTTCTTGGACACATTTTCCCTGCTAGAGCTTGTCATCCTCTTATTTTAATGGGGGTTTTGGGAAGGAGTAGAAATAAACATTGATATTAAGTCCATCATGTTTATTTGGCTGGAAAGAAATTTTCACTGCTACTTATTTCAGCTTGAGGAAAGATCATGTGTGACCTAGGAAATGGGTCTAGTCTTTTTTTTTTTTTTTT